TAGGCCATCTGGCCTCCGTGTTGTTCGGCCTGGCTCCTGAGACTCGTCATACGAACAAGGTCTGTGCTGATCTGCGGTGCAATTTTTCCTCTCGGGTTACTGGCGGATCTGACGGTGGCCAGGCACGAGGGCGCCCCAAAGAGTTGAGGCGTGACTCGGGGGCGCTCCTCGACCCCGAGCTGGCGGCGCCGCTAGGCTGCGGGCCTGGTGGGGACTGGCCCGCGGGGCTCTCTCGCTCGCGGCGGGGCGAGCTGCTGGGCTTAGGCTGAGGCGTGCCTTGGCTCACCTCCTGTTGAGCTGCGCCTCCACCGCCCTCTCCAGGCCCGTCTTCGGGCCCCCTGGGCGGCTCTTCGTGGCCCCCAGGTGCGCCAGCGCATGGCCCAACGCCTGCTTGAACATGTCCCCCTTGAATCCCGAGATCTTGTCGTGCTGCTCCTGCTCGGGCTTCTGGTCGTACAGTACCGCCCTGAAGCTCGGCGCCGTGTTGATCGTGTAAATGAGCTTGGCCTTGCACTGCTTGATGTCCATCTCCACGTCTTCTCCCGACTTGTTGTACGCCTCCTGGATCTTGCACTGCAGGAAGACCTCCGTGATGAAGATCGGTCCCCAGGGTTCGTCGAGCTGGCTCATGAACTCTTTCAAGAGCTGCCTCACGTGGAGGAGGGACGCGTCGAGCTTCTGCTCCTCCGAATCGAGCACCGCCACGATCTCCTCGACCAGGCTCGCTGCGACCTGGCCGTGCGGTGGGCCGAGGCCGTGCCCCTTGAGGAGGAGGAGGGGGAGGAGGAGGAGGAGGAGGAGGAGGAGGAGGAAGAGGAGGAGGAGGGGGACACGCTAGGTGCGCTCGCGTCATATCTGACATCCTACCCCTCCCTCCCATCCCCTACCATGGCGTAGATCCCCTCTCTACTCGCACAGTCGGATGTCGAGCAGGGCAAGGATCCCGAAAGGGTACGCGATGCATTGTAGAGCACGGCATGGCATGGCGTAGAAGAGCACCGCAAAGCGTAGTATGTCACAGCATGGCGTGGCGTGGCGTAGTGAAGAATTGCATCACAAAGCTTTGCAGCGCAAAGCATGGCATCGCACAGCGGCCCCGAACATAACAGTGCATAGCATGGCGTTGAAGATCAAAGCGTAGCATGGCATAGGGCGGCGTGGCACGTAAGCACTGCATATCACAGCTTCAGCTGAAGGCATGACATCGCGCAGCGGAACGCAACCTAGCATTGCAGTGCATGCCGTGGCATGGCACGGGAAATGACGCCAGTGCTGCAGCGGGAGCACGATTCGGAACGAGCGGAAGCGCGGAAATGAGGCCAACGCTGCAACGGGAGCACGATTCGGAACGAGCGGAAGCACGGAAATGAGGCCAGCGCTGCAGCGGGAACACGATTCGGAACGAGCGGGGCGAGGAGGAGGAGGAGGAGGAGGGGGAGGAGGAGGAGGAAGAAGGAGGGGGTAGGAGGAGGAGGAGGAGGAGGAGGAGGAGGAGGAGGAGGAGGAGGAGGGGAGGAGGAGGAGGAGGCGGAAGGGGAGGAGGAGGAGGAGGGGGAGGGGGAGGATGAGAAGGAGGAGGAGGAGGAGGAGGAGGAGGAGGAGGAGGAGGAGGGGGAGGAGGAGGAGGAGGAGAGAGGAGGAGGAGGAGGGGGAGGAGGAGGAGGAGGAGGAGGAGGAGGAGGAGGAGGAGGAGGAGAAGGGGGAGAGGAGGAGGGGGAAGGAGAGGAGGAGGAGGAGGAGGAGGAGGAGAGGAGGAGTGGAGGAGGAGGAGGAGGGGAGGACTAGAAGAAGGAGGAGGAGGAGGAGGAGGGACAAAACGGGGTCGGAGGAGGCCGAGGAGCAGGACGACACCGAGGCCTCGGCCGTCCCGCCGGCCGCCCCCGCGGGGCCCGCGCCGCCCATGGCTGGCCGCGGCTCCGCTGCCGTGCGGCGGCGCGGGGCCTCCGCTCGCGGAGCGACCGCGCCCGCGGCCGGGGCGGAGGCGGGCCCTGCAGCCGTGCCTGCACGGGCCTGCTTGGGCGGCGAGCGCCCAGGACAGACCCCCCTCGACCCCCCTCGAGCCAGGACCGAAGATCACGACGCGAAGTCTTCCGCCGTTGTCGGCCTCTGGGGGCCCCTGCTGGGTCTCGGGACCGTGAGAAAACGGCTCGGGATGAAAAACCGGTCCCGGGGAACGGGTCGAGACCTCTGGGGGTCGACGTCATGAACAAATCATGACGTCGGGGGTCTGGGGAGGGGGGGAAGTGAGAAGGAGAAGGCCCCCTCTCGGAAGGCGGCGGGGCTTCTCAGAAGCCCGCCCTGGCCTTCCGAGAAGGTTTCTGTGTCTTCGTGGATGGCCCAGGAACCTTCTCAGAAGGCTGGGGGACTTCCGAGCCTTGTGAGAAGACCCGCCCCTTCTCACTTCCCCCCTGTGCTCGCCGCCAGCTGCTGCTCAAGGAAGCGGTGCTCGAGCCCACAAGTGCTGCTCAAGGAAGCGGTGCTCGAGCCCACACTTCCACGCGAAGGGCCAGAGCATCTCTGTGGGCCAGGTGCTCCGGGAAGCAATTCGGGGGGGGGCTGGTCCTCGAGAAGCCGCCACCGTGCCGTGCCGGCACTGCGCGGCGGGTCAGAATGCCTGTGAGCTATCTGGTCGGGTCTGGCAGCCTTCGAGGGCCCACCCACCTCCGCCTCGAAGTATTTCCCGAGGGCCCCTGAGTGGCCCGACGCCTACGGGTGCTTTCCAACGTTCCCGAAGGCTTCCCAGAAGGCGCGTGTAGACCACCAAGGCCGCCAAGATGGCCCGACATTGCTTCAAGAGGCGCCCAACAACAAGAAGACCCCCAGAGGTACCCAACAGCAAGAAGACACCAAGAGGCGCCAAACAGGCTCCAAGAGGCTTTTAAGACCCCAAAGAAAAGGGCCAGCTGCTATACCAGACGGCTGTGGGTTTCCTGCGCTTTCGGCTCGAGATGGCTCCCATATTTCCTCGGATCAGCCAGAGACCATCTAAACCCTAGACGCGCCTCACACAACCCTGCGAGGCTCCGAAGAGGCCCCCCGGACGGGCCAGGACTCCCCCAAGAAGGCTCGGGGGGCGAGACATTGACTTGGCAGCGGCGATGCATCACCGATGGATCGGCGATGTGCCCTCGATATCGGGATCGCACTGACCTGGGTCAACCCAAACCCAGGTCAGTCGGGCCTTGCAAGATTTTGCAAGACCCTGCAGGACCCTGCACCCTAACCCGGGTCAGTGCGCCGCTGGCCCTGCAAGATCCTGCAAGATCTGGCGCTCTGGCGGACTCCCTTTGCACTGACCTCCGTCTCTTCTTCCTCCTCGTCCTCCTCCTCCTCCTCCTCCTCCTCCTCCTCCTCCTCCTCCCCTTCCCTCTCCTCCTCCTCCCCCTCCCCCTCCTCCTCCTCCTCCTCCTCCTCCTCCTCCTCCTGCTCGACCTCCTCCTCCTCCTCCTCCGCCTCCTCCTCCTCCGCTCCAAGGCTCCCGACGACAGCGGAACCCCACCGCTCACCCGGGCAGAGTGAGGCACCTGGGCCCCGGTCGGCGAGGCATGTTGTGCGAGTGGAGGCCGATGCCCTCCCCCTCCTGGGCCAGTCCCCCCCGTGCGACCATGAAATTTTATGATTACAAAAAACCGTTTTGACAGGTTTCCTGATGACGTCTTGCGTGCCTCCATCATCGATTGCCGCATCGATTGTACTCTTGCTTCGACGCTCTCCCACTCCCGGGCCAGTCTCCCCCCCGTTACTGCCCCCGAGGGAGGGAGACCGGCGGAATCCCGCCGCCCCCCCCCCTCCCTCCTCCACGGAGGTGGCGACACTGCCAGAAGCTTCCCCCCGGTAGTGCTCCCCCCCCCCCCCTCACGGAAACTAGTACCACCCCACGGAAGTGCCCCCCACGGAAGTGTCCTCCTCCTCCTCCTCCTCCTCCTGCTCCTGCTCCTGCTCCTGCTCCTCCTCCTCCTCCTCCTCCTCCTCCTCCTGCTCCTCCTCCTCGGTAGCGCCCCCCACGGAGGTGGCGGCACTGCCCGATGCCCCGCCTCGTGGCGCGAGGAGTGCTGCGGAGTGAGCCTAGCTTGGGAGCAGGTGGGATATACAGCCGGCAAAACATGATCAAAAGCATGATCGTTTAAGACATCTGGGCCAACTTCCAAAAAGTTTCTGAGAACCGGCCCGGGCCAAGTTCTGTTGTTCACGCTGGAGGGGCGAACGTGCTCAAAAAACTGAGCCGGCTTTCCGGCAAGCTGGTTAAGAAACGCCGGCGCAGCTTTTCGGGAGGAGGCTTCCGAATTAGATGCTCGACTGCAAGTCACTCGTGGTGCGGCGCTTCTCTTGCGGCGCACAGACAAGCTGCCATCGTATCGAGCGCCAGGCGAGGAACGGAGCCAACCCCTTTTGAAAAGCGCCTGGGGTGCACGAGGAGCGCCAGGGGGAACCACCGTGGAGGGACGTCCGAGGAACGGCGAGCCCCGTCCGAGCCCGAGCTGCTTCTTCTTGACAGCGCCTCGGCCGCACCGCCGAGCACTCTGCGCACCACCTCGTGCGACACGAACGGGTCGGGAAGGACACGGGCCCTGGACCCCAAGAGCCTCCCCTGGTTTGGACGTCCGAAATGGGTACGGACACAAATGGGTGCAATGCCCAACAACAAATGTTGCCCCAAACCAACAGCGGCCGCTGTTGGGCAGGCGGCCTTCTGTCTCGAATGGACACAGGCCGCGGCGGCGTGGACAGCGAATCCTGTTCAGAATGAACAGGAACTGCTCTTGGGCATTGTACCCATTCTTTCCGTGCCCATTTCGGGCGTCAAGACCTGGGACCAGCTCTTCATCTGAGGAATTCGTTGACGGTCTTGGGGGCCGGGGGCGGCCCCGAGAGCCCCCCAAAAGCTAAAAGCCTCAGGAACCGTGCCCCTCAGGACCCGTTTGCTCCATGGCGGCCAACCCACGAGCTCGGCAACTGCCCCCCCCCCCCCCCCCACAGAGACTCCGCTCCGGCGCCGGCGCCTTGCTGTGCCGCGAGTGCGCGTGCTCGTCGTGGTGCCCGTGGTGGTGCTCATGATGGCTGCTTCCGCGGTGGAAGACGGCCGCAGGCTCTAAGCTGCTGCCGTCGGACCCCACGGTGAAGTACTCCACCGTAGCCTGGGCGAGAGTGGTGGCAGCGGCCACGGCGGGTTGGAGAGGCTGCACGCACCGGCACGCAGGGGATATGCAGAGAGCGCACGGGCACATGGACATGTGCATGCACATCTGTATGCATGTATATAAGCACGCGTGTATCTCCACCATCGTGCCCTTGTGGCACGAAGTGGGGTATCCCCAGGTCCGCTGCTCAACCCCTGAGCCTCAGTCCTCAACCCTGAGGATTCCTGAAAGGGCCCAGGCCCCGAGTTCTCAAACCCTCTGAAACTCCCGGTGCTTCCCGGGCTCACCCGCGTCTTGTCGCATGCCCTTTTCGGAACCAAGAGGGCTCCAAGATGGACCAAGAGGGCCCCAGGCCCCAAGACGGCCCAAGAGGCTCCCAAGACGGCCCAAGAGAGCCCCAAGACGGCCCCAAGAGGGGCCCAAGGGTGGGAGCCCAAACCGATAATTCGAGCCTTCCGTCCCAAGATGCCCCCAGGAGGTCCCAAGAGGCCCAAGGGAGGCTTCAAGAGGCTCCCAGGAGACCCCAAGACACCCCACGCGGCCCCGAAACGGTCCCCCAAGAGGCCTCAAACCTGCCTCAACGAGGCTCCCGAGAGGCCTCCTGCTACATCCCAAGGAACATCCTAGAGGCCTATGACCCACAACCCAGGCACGGTGTTGCTTACAAGAGGGGTGCCTGGCGTGCAAGACGATTTCGGTCTTGGTTTTGGTTCTTGTCCAAAAGAACTCCCTCTGGGGCTTCGGCCCGTCCCGCTGGGGTGCCGGGAGGATTGCCCAGGAGCTCAATCCCGGACAAAATCCTCCAAGACGGCTCCCGATGGCCTCCAAGACGGCCCAAGAGAGGAGGAGATGCCTCCAAGTCCGCCCAAGAAATCTCCAAGACGGCCCAAAACGGCCCAAGATGTGCCCAAGAGGCCTCCAAAACGGCCCAAGGGACCTCCGAGAGGTCCCCCGGGAGGGCCCGAAGAGGCTAAAATCATTGATTTTCCCCAGGTTTTTAAAAGGTATTTCGTATTTTCTCTTTTTCGGCTCTCCGACGACCCAAGACGGCCCAAGAGGTCCCCAAGATCGCCCCCAGAGCGCCCAAGAGGCCTCCAAGATGGCATCAGGACTGCCCAAGAGGCCCCCAAGACGGCCCCAAGAGGGCACAAAGATGACCCAAGAGGCCTCCAGGACGCCCAAGATGGCCTCTAAGGCGGCCCTGGAGCACCCCAAGACCCAAGAGGGCCCCAAGTCGGCCCAGAGAGGCCCCCCAAACGGCTTCCGACGGCGTCAGACGGGTCAGGAGCCCACTAAGATGGCCGAAGTTGGCTCGAAGCTGGCCCAAGACGGCCCAAGAGGCCTCCAAGAGGGCCTCCATGACGGCAAGAAAATGCCCAAACCATTGATTTTCCTGAGGTGCTTAAAGGATTGTGACATTTGCTTCTTTGAGGCCTTCCGACGGCCCGAGACGGCCCAAGAGCCCTCAAAGATCGCCCAAGAGGCCTCCAAGATGGCCCCAGAACGGCACAAGAGGCCCCCAAGACGGCCCCAAGTGGCCCCCAAGACTGCCCAAGAGGCCTTTAAGACGCCCAAGATGGCCTCCAAGACGGCCAAACAGCTTCCGACGGCGTCAGACGGGCCAGGAGCCCACCAAGACGGCCGAAGATGGCCCAAAGACGGCCCAAGACGGCCCAAGAGGCCTCCAAGAGGGCCTCCAGGAAGGCCCGAAAAGGCCAAACGCATTACTTTCACATGAGTTTTTGGAAGGATTGTGGCATTTGTTTTTTTTTCGGCCTTCCGACGGCCTTCCGACGGCCCAAGTGCCCCCAAAGATCGCCCAAGAGGCCCAAGACGGCTCCAAGAGGCCCCCAAGACGGCCCAAGAGGCCTCCAAGACGCTCAAGATGGCCTCCAAGACTGCCCAAGAGCCCTCCAGGAGGTCCTCCAAGAAGGCCCGAAAGGGTCAAAATGGCCTCCAGACGGTCAAGATGACCTTCAAGATGCCCACGTGTTCCCGGAAGGCTTTCCACACCGATTCGGGGAACACATGGTCCGATTGCTTGGCAGGTCTTGCCTCAACGTTCGGCCACATAGGCGCTTCCAAAAAGGCAGGGGGCGGCGGTGATTCGCCGTAAGCGTCTTCGATTCACAAATAAATAAATTATGTGTGTATATATGTATGTCTGAACCCATGTCTATGGTTCAGAGGCCCCCCCTAGATGGGATGGTTCGGCTCTACAGCTTCCCCCCAGACGGGATGGTGGGGGACGACGACGACGACGATGACGACGTCCACCCTCCGCCACGCCACGCCCACGGGACAACGACCACAAGGGGTGGGGCGATCCCACCCGCGACGCCTTCGCGAAAATCACTGGCGCACCCATCCAGCGGGGGGGGAAGGGCGGGGGCGGGGGCGGAGCCCAGGATCATGCATGGCGGGTTCTGGAAACCCGCAGTCTACAACTGTTGGCACCTCTTGGTCGCGCACCTGTTGCTTCCGCCGCCTTCCACCCGCTGCCGCCGGCGGCGCCGCCCCCGTTTTACCTCCGCCGGACTTCCGCCGCCATCCGCCGAGGAAGAGGTGCCAATGCCTTCAGACGAGGCCCTTTCTGGAGCTCGGCATGCACACACACATACATATACACATACATATATATATATATAGATATGTGTATGTGCATGTATACACATACCAACACATGTATGTGCATCTACGCTGCATGTCATGTATACACGTGTGGTTGTGCACAAACTCACATACATACTATGCGCAGAGCTGGTTGTTTATCGAGAGAGAGAGAGAGAGAGAGAGAGAGAGACAGAGACAGAGAGAGAGAGAAAGAGAGAGAGAGAGGGATACATATATATATATATAGAGAGAGAGAGAGAGAGAGAGAGAGAGAGAGAGAGAGACAGGAGGATGCACACATATACGTATAATCCCGCAGGTGCAGATAAGAGTGAGGGGGCGGTGGGGACGTCGGCAGTCTGCGAGACTCTGGAGAAGCCCGCCGCAGGCGCCTAAGTTTCACGAATTATAGAACGAGCCCGCCGCAGGCGCCGATCATTTCGTTAAACCAATGTGGGTAGGTCGCGGGTGGGTCGCACATGTGTCGCGGCTGGGTCGCGGGTGGGTCGCGGGGTGTATCTGGTGGGTCGCGGGTGGGTCGCGGCGGGTCGCGGGGGTCGCGGATGGGTCGCGGGTGGGCGCGGGGTGGGTCCGCGGGGTGGGTCGCGGGTGGGTCGAGGGTGGGTCGAGGGTGGGTCGCGGGTGGGTTTCGGGTGGGTCGCGGGGTGGGTCGCGGGTGGGTCGCGGGGTGGGTCGCAGATGGGTCGCGGGTGGGTCGCTGGTGGGTCGCGGGTGAGTCGCGGGGTGGGTCGCGGGTGGGTCGCGGTGTGGGTCGCGGGGTGGGTCGCGGGTGGGTCGCGGGGTGGGTCGCGGGGTAGGTCGCGGGGTGGGTCGCGGGCTGGTCGACGACAACACATAACAACGACGCAACGACGCAACAAGCAGAATCCTCACCACAGATCCCCACTTCAGCCACGCACCCAGGGACGATGAATGACCGTTCGGCCGCCTCACTCTGATGTACAAACATATAGAAAGCGAGAGAGAGAGAGAGAGAGAGAGAGAGAAAGAGAGAGAGAGAGAGAGAGGGCGATGGGACCGCAGGAGGGAGAGGCAAGAGCGCCTCTTGCGCGGAAGCCAGGGGCGGAGCGCACACGGGACGGGCCGCACGGGCTCCGACCCCCACTTGCGCAGGAAGCATCTGCAAACCAGCGCGACTGGCCAGGGACATCCTGGGCCCCAACATCGTGTGGACTCGCCCACCTGGTCGAAGCCGGGAGGTCCACAGACCATCCTGGGGCCCCCAAGACGGCCCTGGCCAGGCAAGCGGGTGCTGTACATAGATGCCTTCTGCCTTGGAGAGCGCCCAGCCCAGACCCCCTCGATGATCATCATGAGCAAATCACGCCGGGAAGCTCATCGCTACCTTTCGGCCTCTGGGGGACCGTGAAACAACGATTCAGCATGACAAACCGGTCCTGGGGAATGGGTCGAGACCACTGGGAGCCGACGTCATGAACAAATCATGACGTCGGGGGTCTGGGAACTGGGGCTGGAGTGGATGGGGCAATCTGATCACACGGCACCGCAGATGCATGGCCTATGCACCGGCGACGCCGGGATGGACAAAGGCGGGCTCTGGAGAGGGCCCTATCGCTGACACGTCATCGATGCGGCACGATCCACCGACCCCGTCTGCTTCGACCCGATGCAGGAGGCCTTGATGTCTCTCTCCTCCCTGTTCCCTACGCTCTGCTGTCCTGCCCTCTGCTTTCTTTATTTATTTCCTTATTTCTTGTTTTTTGTTGTTGTTTTTCTCTCTCTCTCTCTCCCTCCCTCTCTCTCTCTCCTGGTCCCTGACCCCTCTTCTCTTGCTTTCAGCTCGGTGCCCAGCTTCTGACCAGCAAGGGGCGCTCGCGGAGCATGGGCGAGAGCGCAGAGAAGAAGATGAAGACGAGTACTAATGATAGTACAAACAAACAATTGATACCACGAAACATTGAAGATCACTGGTACTACTATTAATAACACACCAGGGTAAAATAAAACAAGAATAATGATAAGGATCATAGTCAGAACAATGCTACCACTGATACATACAATAACAATCGGAAGCCCAACGTTTTCTGTCGACCAGGCAAGCGAGCAGGGGTGTCCTCGGCCAGAGAGGGCGAATCTATAAGACGCGCCACATGTTCTGGGTGTTCGTTTCTCCCCCCCCCCCCCCCCCACACGTCCCATAGTTTCCCATATCTTCCTGGGGATCGACGATCACTTGCGTCTGTGTGTGCTTGTGTTTCTTCCTGGTCGTGAGACGTTCACCACAGCGCTGTGCTCCGCCGCATCGCCCGCGACGCAGTGCCGGCTCTCTGCGCTCGTGTCTGTTTCCGCGCAGCTCGTGACTTTTGCGTGACTGCAACGTCTCGTTTGCGTTTAGGGGACGG